GGAACAACTTTCTGCGGTGCAAGCCACTGTACACACCAACGTTGAGGCTATCTCTACTCTCAACAGCAAAGCCGATGACGCTAATGCTCAGCTTGCCAAGCATGGTGAGTTGTTGCAGCAGATATTGGAGCTTCTTCAATGTCCAGTACCAGTTTCTACAACCTCTTTCACAACAATGGATCACCTCTCGCTGGATCAGGATCTTGAAGTCAGTCTTCTTCAAGCTAGATCACTGAGCGTGCTTGAACAGCGAATGGACATAATAGCATTGAGTCTTGATAACCTCTTCTCTAGTCATGTTGATGACAAAGAGGGGGAGAAAGACTTTACTGCTACTGTTGTTGTTGTCCCTACAACACAAGCTGAAGCCGATGCTCAAAGAGCTGAAGTCGATGCTCAAAGAGCTGAAGCTAATGAAGTTGAGGTTGTTGATGATGCCATCCAAGAAGCTGAAGCTGAGGTTGTTGATGATGTCGTCAGAGCTGTTGTTGTAGCTCATGACGAAGACCTTACTATCACCCCTGTAGCTGATGGTGGTGATGAGGAAGATGATGACAATGAAGATGACGATGACTCTCCATCCCTTCCTGATGTTGGAAAAGATCTCGGTGGTGATGATGATGATGACGACGATGACGACGACTTCACCATTCAATACCACAAACCTGCCATCACTCTGAAAGGAGTCTCTCTCAGGGATTCATCATTCCATAGGGAGAAAGAATAAAAAAAAGACTTCCACAAAGAACCAAAACACCTCCTCCAAAGACAAAGGTGTCGCTGAAGAAGGAAATCTCAAAGATCTCTTCAAACCTATCGTACCTCAAGATACTGAATCCTCCAGGTTTGCAATAGTCACTTCCTTATGTCAACTCTCTTCTTCTACCCTTCTACTACATGTGGTCGTCTAGAGGAATCGGTACCTGAAAACCCAACTACTAGTGTTCCTAGTGACCAATAGATGACTCATCTTAAGAAGTCACTCGACCAAACTAAAGTAAAAATTCCTCTTCATACCTCTAGTTGTGGTGAGTTTGACTTCCTTACTTAAGCTAAAAGACTCGAAGCACTCAAAACTGAGGAAGAACTCAATCTTCAACGACAACAGATTGAGGACAGCCTAAAGCTGGCCAAGTCTCTTGCTGCTCAAGTTCTTCCAAATAAATCGTCTAAAAAGATGGTGAACGTTGTCAAGGCCAAAGCTAAGTTGCTTTCAATTGCAGAAGTTGAACGTGAAAAAGCAATGAAGCTGAACGACCGAGACAGAAAATGGAGTGAAGATCATCTTAATAAGAGAATAAGTCCTCACCGGATCTTAAGCTTCACAATCAATGGACGAATGAAAGATGGTGGACTTCTCATATCCATGCTCATCACTAGAGACAACCTTGAAGCTGTTACAGAGTATTCTTCCTACCTTGGACAATACGGCTACAGTAAATGGCTGGAAATCTGCCAAGCCATTCAGCTCTCAAAGTTAAGACACAAGCCAATAATTGAAGACATCCTCAGTGAGCTGATCAAGAAGATGTCCAAATTCGTTGTTGTACCTTCAAAGCCGATATTGAAGAAAGGTGGAAGAAGAAAACCTTCAGATCCTAACGATAGACCAACTTTGAGGAACAAACATGAAACAAAGTTCTTGCTGGAGGAAGTCCTGAAGAATTTTAAGAATCCAGACATCTCTATGTTGAATCTCTCTTTGCCAGCAAAGGGTCCTTACATACCCAACACTATGCATATAAAGCCTAAGTTTGGATTTATATTCCTTGACTATAAAGGCGAACACAGCTTTCAGAGAGTGCCTGAGTTTGGTTTTTGTCCTATAGAATATCTTGATTATCTAAGGTATTGGTTGGATAATGATCTTTATGGTGAAATGATAGACTGCAGGATCATAAAAGAATTTCTACGTCGAAAGATGCTTGGAGAAGAAGTACCTGGTTACATCGACTTCAACGACTTAGATTAGTTAGAAATTTTTGTCTTGTAAATTTTATCTTTCATTATAAGTCTTATTTTTATATGTCTTTTCTTTCAATGTACAACTTATATGTAATAAGTCTAGAATGTACTAACTGAAACACTTGTAATTCACCTTTGATTAATATAAGTATTTCATCAGCATCACTGAACAAGATCCTTGAAAGGAGTAATATAGACACATGTCTATGAGTTCCAGTATGCTCTTACAGTCATTGACAATCTTCAGCCAGTGAACATGCTTTAAGTTTCAGTTTCTCTTCTTGTACTTTTTCTTAAACTTGTTACTTAAGAAAACTTATATAGTAAAAATTACATCACTGAAAAAGATCCCAAAATAGTTAAAAGGGACATGTACTTTATATGTAACTTTTCCTTACTATTAAACCTTAAGGCAATTTTCTTTATGATGTTTTGTCATCATCAAATAAAGGGAGATTGTTGATCCTCTCTCTCATTGATTTGATGATAATCCCTTTCACCTTTCAAAGTATTATGTTTCTGTCTTTTCAGCTCCATCGTCATCACTGAGTCTGTTTAGTGATCCCTGAAACACGCATTGTAATTCTACAGCGATAACGATACTTCAAGAAGACAAAACTCACACCCAAAGAACCTTCAGTGAATGTCGAAGACTGGAACTGAATATTAGCGACTGACGCGTTCATGATCTGAAGCGGTATTTAGTTATTACAACCTGGTCAACATATCTGTGAAGACTGCACAAGCCTCAATGAATGGTGAAGAGACCTCCAGTGTTATTCCAGCATTCAACAATCAAATGAAGCTTGTCATGCACGATTGTTTTTGTCTTGTCCTTCTACACACAAATGACAAACTCATACCCTTTCAAGATTAGAGTACTGCATGGAGTCGACTAGTCGACTCTTGTGCCCACCAACTCCATAAAAGGATGTCTGCTCATGAATAGACAATAGTACTATTCACTGTTGCAAATGACAAGCTTCTCTTAAAGCTTGACGCGTGTTCTAACCCTTCTAATTTGCATTTAATGCAATGGGTATAAATAGTTGAGTGCTCTTCTCATGCACTACATCTATCTACAACACACAAAAAAAACACATACGCTTATCTTCAAGCAAGTTAGAATTTCTCTCCAAATTCTAAAGTTCTTACCCAAGAAGAACATCTTTCTGTCTTTATCTTATTCGGCAAATTTCTTATATTTGCTAAGTATATTTGTATGTAATCTTATATTGTTTTAGATAGGTTATCTTTACCTTTCTATTTTCGTAAACAATCTGTAAAAATCTATATTGATCCTTCTATATCAATATATATTTTTAAATACCAAAGTTTTCTGTGTTTGTATTCATCCCCTCCCCTTTGACAAACTGTTTCTCTAAACTCTTGTAAACCCAGCTGAGACCAATAGGTATACCCTTGTGATTTTGGTAATCCTTCAATAAATCCATGGAAATGGCTTCCTAAAACTTCTTTGGAATTTCCAGCGGTTGTAGTAATTGTGGAGAAGCATACGTTTCATATTTACCCCGTGGACAAATTTGACATTCCCTTACGAAATTCCAAATATCGCTTGTAGACCCTTCCAATACACAGCGCTAATCATTCTTAGAGTCGTAACATGCATTCCTAAAATGACCACCCATAGAACTACCATAGACCCTAAAGCCCTGTTGGAAAAAGCGGTGGGGTGCCTTTTTGGGTGAGTAGGGCTCCAACTCCCGTATGCTCTTCAAAGTTTGGTAGTGCTAAAGCCTAAAACAAATTACTAACAATATAATATATATTAATTGATACGAACTAGATGGTAAAAGAATTACATTATAAAATTTGGATTTGTAAAACTAAATACAAATTTTTAAAAATATCTACATTGATTAAATTATAATTTTAAATAAGTATT